CAAAGGATCAGGGAGAGGAAAGGTAAGCCTCGGAGCCCCAGAAAGAGGCTGTCAGCCCCAGAAAGAGGCTAGTGGGTGTTGCAGGATCAGGGAAGTAAAGGGAGGTGAGGGCGGGGCCAGGTCCAGAAGCAGTGCTCCTAGGGCCCAGGGAAGGCACTAAGTTGGTCTGGTTGAAAAAGGTCAGGAAGCAGTATTGGTTCCCCAGGTGTCCTGGGACCCAAGACTAGGAATGGCGCAGGGTCCAAACTAGTAGAGAGCAGCGGGGGAGATGGAAGGGTGAATGTGGCTGGGAGAGTCAAGGCGCTGAGGGCTGTGCTATAGACTTACCCCAAGAGGCCTGAGGATAGGAGTGCAGGCTAGGAGAGTTAGCCAGTGGTGCAGGTCCCGGGAAGCAGAGAGGTGAGGGCCGGGCAGGTCCAGAAGCGGTGCTCCTGGGGCCCAAGAAAGGCACTGAGTTGTTCTGGGTGAAAAGGATCAGGAAGTAGTATTGGTTCCCCAGGTTTCTGGGGCCCCAAGACTAGGAATGGCGCACGGCCCAAACTAGGAGTAGAGAACAACGGGGGAGATGGAAGGGTGAATGTGGCTTGGGGAATCAAAGCACGGAGGGCTGCGCTATAGACTTACCCCAAGAGGTCTGAGGATGGGCGTGCAACGGCTAGGAGAGTTAGCCGGTGGTGCAGGTCCAGGGAAGCAGAGAGAGGTGAGGGCGGGGCCAGGTCCAGAAGCGGTGCTCCTGGGGCCCAAGAAAGGCACTAAGTTGTTCTGGGTGAAAAGGATCAGGAAGCAGTATTGGTTCCCCAGGTGTCTGGGGCCCCAAGACTAGGAATGGCGCACGGCCCAAACTAGGAGTAGAGAACAGCAGGGGAGATGGAAGGGTTGAATGTGGCTTGGGGAGTCAAAGCACGGAGGGCTGCGCTATAGACTTACCCCAAGAGGTCTGAGGATGGGAGTAGTCGAGACTAAATTTTTATACCAAACTTTCTCTGAGGGGAGAAATATAGAGGAGAGGCAAAAGACTAACAACTGAATCTTGTGATAGACTCTGTATGTGGAGATCAGTAGATTAAACACTAGAAAATAGTCCAGATATCAAAATTCAGGGAGATGAAAAAGGAGCTATTTTAGAGGGTTCTTGGCATTAGTGTCATAAAGTGCTTAAGTGGTCAAAGAATGAAAAGTTAGAAAAGCATTTGGATTTGATTCAAAAGATGTTATTGTTGACTTTTTATTGTTACCAATTCTTGACACCACATTTTAGTAGGAGGTGATAGGGAAAGAAAGGGAAATAAGGGGGTGCATGAGGTAGACATAGGACAGAACATAGATTAGATGTTGAAGGCTAGAAGAAAAGGTGACGGCTATGCACATGTAAGGTCTGATAAAGTAGAGATCGTTTCTTTTTGGTTGGGGCAGTGATTTGTTGGCTTAGGTATACTTTTTTCACTAAGCATGTTGAAAGTCAAAGAAAAATAAACCAAGTGAATCTAACGTTAATAGAATGTTAAACAGTTTTGTGTGGAATTCAGTAGAATTGCTGTAGTTCAAAGTAGCTAGCTTGGTTCTTCAACATTAAATGAGAAATTATAGAAATGGAATACTTTTCCTGAGAATGGGGTTGAAGACTGCTATCTAGTCAGCCACATTTTTCTTTGAGCTTATTTTGCTGGTTATGGCATAACATAGGAAGACCGTGGTTCCTTATTGAACATCGCTGTTTTATAAACCTAGATTAAGTCTTTGGGCTTTTTATAAAGTAAAGTAGCCCACTAACCTGCATTTTTGTTTCTGAGACAGACAGGGTCTTGCTATGAAACACAGGATGGGATTACAGGTGTGTGTATGTCACAATGCTCAGGCAATAAATACGTATGTCTGTGTATGTGTGTAATATGTAGTTTATTGTCTATCTAATACTGATTTTAAAAGTAAATACTACATTTCTAGATTATTATAGTAACTATGTAACTTAGAATTGAAAATTGTCCTGGGCATAGTGATACTTATCTGTATGCCTGCACTTGGGAGGTTGAGGCAGGAAAATAAAATATTCAGGGCCAGCCTTGGTTACATGGTGACAACTCTGTTTTTACAAAACAAAGTCTAGAGGCTGGAGAGATGGCTCAGCAGTTAAGAGCACTGACTGCTCTTGCAGAAGACCAGGGTTCGATTCCCAGCACCCACATGGCGGTTATGAACCGTCCTTAACTCCAGTTCCAGGGGAATCCGAAGCCCTCTTCTGACCTCTGCGGCATTGCATGACATGGGTGCACTCACATACATAAAATAAAAATAATAAATAAGGGGCTGGAGAGATGGCTCAGCTGTTAAGAACACTGACTGTTCTTGCAGAAGACCCAGGTTCAAATCCCAGCACCCACATGGAAGCTAACAACTGTCTATAACTTCAGTCCCAAGGATCCGACAGCTTCTTGTGACCTCCATGGGCATTGCAAGACATTGGTGCGCCTACCCACATGCAAGCAATACTTGCATACATAAAATTAAAAA